TTTGACATAATAAAAGTGTTAATTCTGTTTCTTCTTGTATTTTGAAAAGTACTATATTTGACATAATAAAAGTGTTAATTCTGTTTCTTCTTGTATTTTGAAAAGTACTATATTTGACATAATAAAAGTGTTAATTCTGTTTCTTCTTTTATTTTAAAAAGACCTGTATTTGACATAATTAAAGTGTTAATTCTGTTTCTTCTTGTATTTTAAAAAGTCCTGTATTTGACATATATAAAGTGTTAATTCTTGTTCTTCTTGTATTTTGAAAAGTCCTATATTTAATGTAATTAAGGTGTTTCTTCTGGTCCACCCTATTTTCTGAAAAGTCCTATATTTGACGGAATTAGCGTGCTTATTCTGTTTCTCCCTGTATTTAATCTATTCTATATTTACTTTTTAAGGTGTTTATTCTGTTTCTCCTTGTATTCCGAAAAATCCTATATTTGACGGTATTAAGATGTTTATTCTGTTTCTCCCTGTATTTTGAAAAGTTCTATATTTGACGGAATTAAGATGTTTATTCTGTTTCTCCCTGTATTCTGAAAAGTCCTATATTTGACGGAATTAAGGTGTTTATTCTGTTCTCCCTGTATTCTGAAAAGTCCTATATTTGACGGAATTAAGGTAGAAAATCCAGTTTTGAGCCTAAACTTATCTTTTATCTGATGTAGGGCTTGGAACCGTGTATAATCACACATAATGGACTTTAATCAGATCAAAAAGTAAATTTTAAAATTAGTTTTGGAGCAAGGGAAAAGAGAGGGGGGGGGGGGGGGGGTTGACAGGAGCGAGGGGGAGTATATAGAGTTTGATTAGATGGGGGAAGTGGGAGTGTTTAAGAATGGGCAGAACAGGATTTTTAAAAACGGTAAGTACGGTGTAGTACACCATTTATAGATAATGGTACATGAGTTGTTCGATGAACAATGTACATACACTTTGTACTGTATACATACCTTGTTTTTTATAATTATAACTGGTCGATATTTGGATCTTTCTGACTCGAGAACTGAACCCTGAACTCCAGATCTCTTTCGGATTCGATCAAAACGTCCTTGGAGTCGTCCGTCCTCAGGCCTTCGTCTTTCGTCTGTAACTCGAAGACAGATCGTCCCAAAAATCTGTTTTTCCGGTCCCTGGTTCACACAGATTTGTACTTTTTCACCCCAATCTTAAAAAAAAAGATTTTTTTAAATCTTCCAATTACAGTGACAGAAGTATTTTGAACAGTTTACCGGAAGTATTTTGAAATCAAGAAGATTTTGACCGAAATTACGTAGATATTATTAGAAATAAAAAATTTTGTGACCTAAACCAAACAATCGGTTCACAATTTCTAACAAAATGATCGGAATTTAGAAAAGTTTCCGTTTTTCAATATTCGATGAATAAGACACTCGTTTGTTTTCCAATTTGTTTTCTCGCTAAGTACCGTAAAGCGTGTAAACATTGAAAGAAAAAATATTTATTTGACAGAAGAAAAACAACTTTGTCATTTCTCTTTTATTAACAATCCAAAAAATGAATGAAACCCGAATTTTTGTCTTTAATCAAGAAAAATATTTTTCGAATATTTCTCAGTAGTAGAACAAAACTCACAAAATAACTTAGTGAATGAAAAATGGAACAATAAACAATAATAAACAATGGTCGAGTAACAATTGCTGAAACTATTTACCAATAAAATACACAACAAACAATAAACATGTACTTTCTTCTACAGTTAGTAATTTTTAATTTTTAATTTCTAAGTTCTATGACTTTGTGTTGCAAAGATATAAGAATTTTAAAAATGAGTTTGTGGCAAAGGCTCAATTTTTTTTAAATATGTTAAACTGGACTGTTTATTAACGGAGCAAATTAACTGTTCTGTCAATATACGGTGGAATTGTGAAGTTCGAATTTAAGGACAAGGACGTGTAAACCACTCACCTTCTCCTTGTGAAGATAGAGCTGTGTTCCGGTTTAGATTTGATTTGACGAGTTCAGTTGAAGATCCGGAGTAATTCCCACAGATCCTGTCATTGGAATTAGAAACGGGGATCAGGGAATTGTCTTGACAACTATTTTTACAATTCACTCTTCTTTCTTCTTTGTAACCGTGAGGCGTTGGTTCGATTCTTCTCAGATCCGCTCCGCCCCTCTCCTTCCTCTCCTCCCTCTTCTCCCCATCCTTGCATACATTCTTTTCAACCCAACTCAACCTTTCACGATCCAACCCATAATCAGAAGGTTCGGTGAGATATTCTCCAATATTGGTTTCACCTCCTCTCAACCTTGCTCCGTCCAATGTTTGAGACGGAGTAAATCTGCTCTGAGTGGGTCCGGAGATTCCAGGTTTTCGAACCCGACCCGTCTCTCTTCTCTCCCAATCTTGCTCATCCATCTTTTAATAGTTTATTCGCTCATCTGAAATTCATGTTATTTAGTCAACATCTAATACAACTATATATCTCTGTAATCATGAAATATTTGTATCTATCTTTATATTTTCATTTATCAACCTTGTATCAACTGTCATTCCTGGCTCAAAGATTCATTTTATTGACATAAAGAGAGTAGAGACTGTTAAAGTAATTTCAAAGCTAAAGTTCGCAAGCAATCCAAACCTATACAACATACCAGAGAGAATCGTCAATGACAAGTTCTAAAATTGTAAAATCATATTAAAAAAGTGGACATTCCCTTTAGGATGTTTTATTCGCTCTCTTCTCCATGATTCACATGATTTTGAACGCTAGTTTGTATAATTTTCAATGTTGCAGAGTTTCCTGGAAAATTTCGGAGTTTATAACCCGGTGCATAATAAACAAGTAATAAAATCAAACAATTTGTATATTTTCCCTCCTAGGGATGCAAAGATAGCGCGCTATAAATCTCAACTCAAAGCACAACAAAAGAATTTTATTTCAATTCAAAAAAACTGAAAGCATATAAATCCGTAGGATTCGTTTTGTTACCCCTTTAAATCAATCCAAAGACAACAAACATATTTGCAAAGAATTTTTAAAATCTTGGATTGGGAAGGGATGGAAGGGGGGGGTAGTTCAAGTTGATCATACAGAGGAACCCATTAATCTATGAAAAAGTGGAAAAAGAAGATGACCTTCAAAGTTTTAAATAAAGAGTTCAATAAATTTGAAAGACAAAAATTATGCACATAACCATTTTACCTAATAAACAACTAGTAAAATTATTTTTAACAACTTCAAATACTGAAAAAAAAACAGTGAAAATCCATCAATAAAAACGGGAAAATCTGCATCATTTCTTAGTTTTAGTTTTTTGAGGTAATAAAACAACTTGCATGGAAAGCAACATTTAAAATATGAATTTATCCTGAGAAAAGGTCTGGGTCTTGATACATATATTTACTAAAAAAAATCATTTGCCAAATTACTTCGTAAATACTAAAGCTAAAAACAAGAGTTTTACTGTTCTAAAATGTACATGTATAGGGCTACAACAAAAGTATGATTATGAAAAATTAAATGCCAAGGCAGTTTTGTCGAACCAACCTTAAAAAAATATCAAAATTTGTATAGCTGTCTGGATCTCTGTGAGATACACAGAATAATGTAAATTTACAATTGTTCTTGGATTTGTTAATTCTGTGTAAATAGAAAATGATTAATAATTGTGCTCTGATGACTATTTCAATTGTATTGTTTTGTATTGTTTACAGTTGAAGAAAATTGTTTTAATGCAGTGTGTATCTACTTTAATCACTTTAATTCCCTATATCCGGACAAAGCACCTTCCTGTCCCCTACCCCCCTACCCGCCCCCCCCCCACTTCTTCCTCCAATTTTGTGTGGGATATATGCAACCTTGGATAGGTTTTGAAACCTTGAACTTTTTCTAGTATTTAGTAAATTATCAGTATATTAGTATTTTTGTATTCATAGTTTTATTTCCCACAATTATAGATTTACCGTTGATCAGTCGAAAACTAACAGCTGACTGACAGCGGGTTAAACACACGACAGTTTAAAAAATCGCTAAAATCAAGGCGTGGTTTAAAAAGTTTACTTACATAAAAAACTGCAAGAAAAGAAAAAGAAACTGTTATTGGTACCATCATAATAACAAATATTTGTTCAAAGTTAAGAACATTTTGTGGCATCTTATGATCTTACAAATTGTTCTATATTCCTAATTTCTGGTAATAATATGTAATATCGAACCAAACTGGATTTACTTCGAAATTTTTTTTACTTAAAAATTCAATTAGAATTTACAATGTTGAACCAAGTGGGGGAGGGGCACAATTTGAAAAAATATTGCGACCTTTTTTAACTATGTTCAGGTAAACTAATTTTTAATTTTTTCAATGAGGGGGGGGGGTGGGCATGTAGCCTCCTCTTAGCTCTCTCTGACTTATATCTTCAAAATCAAATCAACCATTTATGTGTGGATCCTGAATGATTTGCTGTTGCAAAGTAACTTAACAAGTAGTTACAGAGTACACCTAGTACCTACACCATAACCTCAGATTTACAGCTTCTGTAACTGTTGAGTCTAGTGCACAATACAACGCATATGACCAGTAATTACATAATTGAGAAAGTTGTCGTCTTCAATTTAAGTAAAAAGGTCAAATAATTTATTTCGTTTCTTAATCTTTTAGTTTGGGACTGGGTGAGTACAATGCAATGCAATGTAGAATGTATATTGCCTGGCCTGAGGAAGGGAAATGCAAGCTGATGTAATATTAAAAGAGCCCCCCCCCTCAGCCTCTCAGGGGGGGGGGCACGCGTAGGGGGGGCGCCCCACCCCCTCGTACGCCACTGCAATGTTCAGACACTTTTTTAGCAATTTAGCTAATGCAAGATATCAAGAGGTTCCAAAAGGTAATTATCGTTAAAAACCGGAGCTTCGATAGCAACTAAAAAATTGTAGTTTTACGAAAAAGGAAAATTCTTTGACGTGGAACCGATGTATAGTATTAAAAATTCAAATCAACATCGGTATTTTATATGTGAACAAGAATAATTCCTTAAAACTTTAAAATTTTTTAAAGATGAATTGATGAATGAATGAATTTTTAAATTGATGAAAGGATGAATATATAAATTGATGAATAGGTGAATAAATAAATTGATGAATTGATGAAATGATGAATTTCATGAGATGAAATGAACTGAATTCCAAATGTCTTGCAAAGATAGCGCGCTANTATTATATGATTCTTTTTATCTCAAATTCTAAAAATTTGCAAATTTTGAAAAATAAATTATGAATTATTCAAAAATCATATCTTAATATTTGTTCTGTGTTCTCAGCTAAACCTTGAAACGAAATTGGAAGCTGTCGAATAAGATATTCGTTTCTTATTTTTAATTCCTGTTCATATGTATTTCCAATTTCCAGTATTTTCAGGTTCAAAATTTGTGTTTGATTATTTGATGAAGTGGTTTAAAATATTTACAGAGAGTTAACGGAAAAACTGAAACAAAAATCTCTAACATACAGCTTTAACTGTCTTTAAAATTTTGAAAATAATATGTGAATTAAAAAATTAACTATTGGAACAATTGACAATGAAAATTTATAAGATTCAAATTAGCAATTAAAAATTAGAAATGAAAATGGATGAATATGGAGGAATATGGAGGAATTTAGATGAATATGGATGAATTTGGATAAATATGGATGAATATGGATGAATACGGATGAATATGGATGATTATGGATGAATATGGATGAATATGGATGAATATGGATGAATATGGATGAATATGGGTGAATATGGATGAATATGGATAAATTTGGATGAAAATGAATGAATATGGATGAATATGGATAATTATAAATGAATATGAATGAATGTGAATGAATATGGACAAATTTGGATGAAAATGGATGAATATGGATGAATATGGATGAATATAAATGAATATGAGTGAATGTGAATGAATATGGATAAATTTGGATGAAAATGGATGAATATTAATGAATATAAATGAATATGGATGAATATGAATGAATATAAATGAATATGGATGAATATGAATGAATATAAATGAATATGGATGAATATGAATGAATATAAATGAATATGGATGAATATGGACTAGGGTAAATTGCAATAAAAAGTCTCTGAATATATTTAGTTTCTTGAATATTTTGAATATTCAGAAATATTGTATATTTTGAGTTTAAAAGGCTACACTCCCAACTTTGATAATGGACTTTAAATTTCCGTTTTTAATTATTTCTTTATCTATTCTATATTTTGTTATCAGAAGTTCCTCTTAGCACAGACTGGACAAGAAAGAGTGATTTTTGTTTTTGTTCAAGAACTTTTATTCAACAGAACCTTCGAGCTCAATCTATTGGGACGTTGAGAAAATAACCTAAGTTTTTGTTCGTAATGTCGAACTTTCGAAAGAATCTCGAAATAACGATCATTTTGTTCGAACTTGAAATTTGATAAGAAAAAATGATCATTGTATTTAACAACATGTTTTTAATTTTTAACAAAATGTTTGTAATTTTGAACAAAATGCTCTTCATTCGAACAACATGTTTTAATTATAAACAAATTGTCTTTTATTTTGAACAAAAAGGTCCTTATCCTGAGCAAAATGTTAGTAATATTTAAATGTACTTGGCTTTTAGGGAGCTTCGCGCCCATCTTCTATTTAAATTGTGAACATGTTCTTTTTGTTTACATTTTAAAACAAAAAAGAAAAAAAATTTGCGGATTTAAAAAAAAAAAATCGCAGATTTTCAAGAATTTAAATTTTTTTTACAAAATTAAAAATCTTTAAACACATTTTTTTTAATTTTTATCATTCATAAACCTTCCCTGTGGTCACGTGATGTCCCACAAAAAATTTGGGCCCGATCGGTTCAGCCGTTTTGACGTTTATTGGATACAAACAAACAGACAGACAAGCCAAATTTATATATAGATTTGGTAACTTCGTTATTAACAACAAAATGAACGATTTTTCTAGCACTGCGTTCTGCAAAAAAGATAAGTTGAAACCGAATCAAATGATAATTGTTTAAAAATATGTAATTTGTCCACTATATTTATACTCTGTAGCAAACTGTACAAATGTTTTTTAAGAAGTAGAAAATGATTGAAAAAAATTGTAATTAAAGTTAAAGAATTCCAAACGAACCTGAGTGCCTGTTCAGAGCTTATTCGTACTGAATGTGAACAAACGTTAATTGTTTATTAACAATCGTTCTGATTTGTTAACAAACTCTTCTGAGTTGTTAACAAAAATTTTTTATTTTTAACAAGACCTGCTAATTTGTTAACAAACCCTGCTAATTAGTTAACAAAACCTGCTAATTTGTTAACAAGCTCTGCTAATTTGTTAACAAAACCTGCTAATTTGTTAACAAAACCTGCTAATTTGTTAACAAAACCTGCTAATTTGTTAACA